GAGTCGATATAAGTCAAAATATCAGAAATCCCATAGAAGGAAAGTGAAGATCTATATAGGGAGATATAGTTGAGAAAGGTACATGGGAGAGACATTTACTCAAGGACAATGCTAGTGCAAAGGAAATTACATAAAATCATCTGATAAAGGAAGAAGTTTTCTTAGCCATACAATCCAGTAAATTGTGTTTGCAGGCAATTACCTACCCAAGGATTCCCCTGCATTGCAACTTTAAATCCTTGCATACAATTGGCTTATGTGAAACACTATGAACATCCTATATAATACAATCATTGTGAAAAAAGTTCAGCATAGAAGGGGAGACCAGAGCACTCCTAATGCCCCACCCCTGCTATGACAGAGAAACAATTGGTTATTATATGATGACAGAATCTGGATGGAAAACAACCATGCTCCATGCTGCAGAAGAATGCAAAAATTCCCACCATGTGTCAGTCAGATCTATAGTAAAAAATCCTTCCCAATCTTAAATTTGGTGACTGGTATGACCCTAAGCAGAAAAGCAAGACACTCTAGGTGGCTATTTTTGAGTTTTCTAGATACCAGCATACCCTAGCATCAGCATACTCTAGTCAAAACCCCCAGTCTTAGCTGTGGACAGTCCCAGTGCTTCAGTGGAAGATGAAAAACACAAAATACAAAAACCGGTAGCGTTCCTAAGGGGAAATTTTTTTTCCTGGCCCTCAGAGGCAACCAGCAGAAGACTGGAAGCATGGGATTGCCAGTTATCTACCTCACTGCAAGAATTACCTCCATATTGCCACACATTGATTGCAAATGCTCAATCTCCTATATTCCACCTAGTGACTGTTGATCCAAGAACTCCTTGTCCGATCGTACTGTCCTATAGAAAATACTATTCTCTATGTTTATCTATACATTTATTGAGTTCAGTCTTCAGTCTTAGGCCGCATGCAGACATTCCACTTGTTCTGGGAGAAAAGTCTTTGCTCTGGTCAGTCTGGAGTGTGGGGTGAAGCAGGCTGCTCTGCCCCAGCAGCAAGGCTCTGGAAGACTTGTTGCAGCAGCAGAATGCTCCCTGCCTCTCCTTACACTCTTCTGGGTCAGCCCAGAGGAATGCGAGGGGTACAGCTGTTCTCCTGTGGCAGGAACCAGGAGAGTTCTCACCATGGGGTAGTGCTTCTTCCTGCTAATCAGCAAATGCGGGCAGGGCATTCTCCTAGGGCTGGAATCATCCTTGTTTGTCTGTGGTAGCTGCTACTTTTCATAACTTAACAGCCATCCCTCTTCCCAGGCAGGGGAGAAGACAGCCTGTCAATTAATGGGCTTCCCTAAGGAGGCGGCCCAAGGAGCAGCCCTCTAGTGCCCCTTGATGGGACAGCTTGCTCTTCCGTAAGGCCACACAAATACTATGCAGGTCATCAGATCAGCCTGCATTCATATTTTTTACAATGTGATTCCTAGCTGCCTGCTTATATTTCTAGGCTAGGGACAGAAATTACACATAAATCAGTTTAAGTGATCTGAAAGTGGTTTAAATCTGTAACAGCACAGAAGTTCAGTGCATATAAAATGCTTTCAAAGTTGCCTAAACTGATTTTAGATAAACCTTGTTGGATGTAGTATCTGACTTAAGTGATTTAGGTTAAACTGGTTTATGGAATGTCAGTCCCAGATCGCTTCCCAATTCAAGTTAACTCACAGTCCCCCAGTATCCCAGAATCATGGGCAACTGGTGCCACCGGAGTCTTGGGGTCCCCCAGCAGCCAGCCAGCGACCCAGGGGGTGAGTCCCCTAATGGCCGGTTGCTGGGGACACCAGTGGCATGGCGGTGCCCGGATGTGCCAGCACTACCGTACGTGGCACGGTGGCAGTGGAAGTGCCAGCACTTCTGCCGCCAGCACTTCTGCTGCCAATGTGCTGCCAGTGGAGCCGATTTCAGGGTGGGCACTAGTGCTTTCCATGGCCCCCTACCAGCCAGAGCACTTGCTGCCGGGGGGGGCAGCAGCGCTCTCCAGGAGGGCATGTGCCCCGCCGTGTCCTCCCTATGTGCCACCTATGCCCAGAATGCTTTGCAGCCTTGGGCTGTGCTGTCTGCTTAGGCAGAGCAGGGCTGGCCCCTCCCATAGCTATCACAGAGCTGAGTCACTAAAGCTTCTGCTCCCTGCCAGCACCTGTCAGCCTAGCAGGATGAAGGGTGGGGGGGAAAGGGAATGGACCCCCCCCCCCCCCCCCCCCCCCCCCCCTCCCCGAGCGGCACCCCCCCCCCCCCCCCCCCCCCCCAGCTCCTGTCTGTCCAGGATAAGAGGAAGGAAAGTCCAAGGAGTGGAGAATTTTTTGCCCCCACAGCAGCCAGGTGAATGGGGTTGGCATAGGTTCAGCCCCATCCCCAGCCTGTGAAGGGAAGGGACAGAATGAGGGGAGTGCAGTGGTCCGGCCCCAGTCCTGCCCCTGCCTCCCCAGCCAGGGTCTACCGAGTGCAGGGCTAAAGCCCCCACTGTGGGTATTTCAGTCCCCTGCAGCCTGTGTCACCAGGCTGGGATCAGCTCAGCCCCACCTTGCCCCCTCCCTAACCTCCACCTGAGAGAGGCAGGAGGTGAGATGTGGAGGGGTATGTGGGGTGAATTAATTGGCCCATATGGGCACTGGATACCACCAGCTGGGGTCTGGGGGTGTGGGGTGGGGGGAATCCCCCACTGGGAGCTTTTTACTCCCTTGCAGCCGGGCTTGCTGGGCTGGCATGGGTTCAGCCCCACCCCCTCCCCAGCTCCCTGCCTGTGAGAGGTGGGGTGGGTGGGGAGGGTAACACACTGGCCCAGTTCAGCACTGGGGTCTGTTCAGTATCGGGTGGTGAAAACCTGCAGTCTGGTGAGCCAGGCGGGGACCAGTTCAGTCCCCTCCCAGGGAGGGGACAGGGCTGAGCCACCTCAGCCTGGCTCACACTGGGCAGACCCTGGCTGGGGGAGCCAGTGCCCTGCTGGGCCAGTGTGTTCACCCCCCTTCCCCCCTACTTCTCACAGGTGGGGGCTGGGGTGGGTGTGAAGCTGGGCTGCAGTGAAGCAAAAAAACCCTGGTGTGGTCTTCCCCCATGCCAGGCAGACCCTGGCTGGAGGGGGCCAGTGCTGGGCCATGTTTTTGCCCTCATCTCAAAGGCATGGGGCTGGGGAAGGGGTGGGCTGAGACAGTCGTAGCTCTCCTATCCAGGTTGTGTGTGAGGGGCCTGGAGGCGGTGATGATGGTTGTGGAAAGGAGCTGCAGGGCAGTTCGGGGTTGGGCTCAAGGTGGCTGCAGCAAGAAGGGCCTGGCAGTGGTGAGTGGGAGGGGCTGCTTTTCCCCCACACTGAGCAACATCTTCTGCCCGGCTGCTGATGCTGCTGAGCATGGGTGGGAGGTAAGGTGGCTATCATAGGGCACAGTTCGTCTTTGTCTTCTATTGATATGAAACTGGATGCCTTTCCCAGAATGTGTTGGTTGTATTTATATTTAACAATTAAAGGAGAAAAGCAAACTGGCAGCATCTCTTGTGCGCACAATTAGAATTACACATCCATATTGCATTATCCATCACAGAAAAGTGTATGCTTAGAGGTGGTTAATTTTCTGTTGCATCAATTTTCCAATTCAAATGACATTTAAATGAAAAGCAACATTTTGGTTTCAATTTTTTTTTCCAACCCAAATGAATTTTTGTGGACTCTTTTCATATTGGTAATAAAACATTCTAATTTTAACAGGAAAAATGGAAACCAAATCTATTCAGTAAAAGTTTCTATTCTTTTAATCAAAGCCCTATTTTTTGTTTCTATTTTCATTAAAAACCAAACATCTTGTGCCACTGCTATTTGTCCCCAGGGAATGCCCATGCCAGACATGCTCTGGCGCATGGCAGATTACCTGGGGTGGGGTAGGGGAGACTGGGGCCAGCGACTGCAAATCTCCTGGGGTCAAACCCCCCACCCCGTGCTGCTACCAGCAAGGGGAACTCCTGCGTGTGCAGTGTGTGGCTCCACAGACGGGTCTGAGTCTCCACATACTGCATTTCTGCACTTGTCTGGATGCAGCTATGATCTGTAGAAAACAAACAAAGCAAAATACCACTCCCCCACCCAACACCCAAGTACAGCATTTAAAGCAATATGTACAGGCACATACTTTTTGCATATCACGTAATTCTGAGCTGATCTGTCGTGACTCATGCAAAGCATCTGTGGCACTTTGCAGAGTACGGTTGACCTCATCAGTTTGTTCCTTGACTCTTTCAGCTTGCTCCTGAAGAGAAAGAAAAAATGTGTTCAGAAATGTTTTGTGCACTATTAAAGTGCAGTATTAATATTCTGAGATTTTTTAGTTTTCCTGTTCTCAGGGAGTAAGAGGTCCTTTCTTTATTTAGAAAAATAAACACAATTTGGAAATACAATGTGAGCAGTTAAGGGTATGAACTATCAGAAAAGTGCACTGGCAGTTCAGAGCCAAATTAAAGGAAGACTTTTTCAAGTCGCATGTAGAATAGTTGGAACTGGGGAAGATTTTGATTTCTATCTAGAATGATAGATACGTTTCCCATGACAACAATAAAGCTAATGTGAATGTTCTCTTTGGTGGAGCATCTGCCTTGATTATGGAGAGTCATGAACATCAAACAATGGTTAAAAACAGAGAACAATTATGACCACATCCAGCACACTTCAGGCTTTCCTTCATAAATATGAGATGAGCTGCAGCTCGGCTGCTGCACTGTAATTATAAAACAAAGGAAGAAAAGAACAAAAGAGACTTTGTACACGAGGATCCTAAGATTCTGGTAGAATAGTTTACAAAACCAGGCTGCTTAAATTTTATATGTAACTATTATGCACTAGTTCTCAGCTTCCACATTACTGTAAGTTTTTATAACTGCCAACCCCAACCGTTTCGTACCAGATCACCCGCCTTGAAAATTATGAGATTGACCTAAATTCTCACAGCTGGTCTACCCAGAAGTCACAAGGCGAGTCTAAAAATCATGACAATTAAACAAGGAAAAGAAAGAATAAATCACGGTTTTGTCAGTCAGATGATTTCTCACTCGCTCCTGCATCCCACTAAAGTGCGTATGACAGTTACAAAGTGAAAATTCAAAGATAAAAATGTATACACTGTGTACTCAAATATGCTGGCACCTGCTCCTCCTTTTGCCTGCTCTCTAACTTCAAGTGTTCACCTACTCCCCCAGCTCAGGGTCTTTTCTGTTTCCCAGCAGCCTCTTGAATCCTCCTGAAGCCTCTTAGTCGGCCCTTATCTCCAGCCTGCACAGAAGGGGGCTTTCCAAGGGCTTTAATTTTGAGGAGCCATCGTGGTGTGTGTGTGAGAGAGAGTGAGAAACTGAGGCAGCTATTGCTGGTAAGCTCGGAGGAAGGCAGCTATCTCTGTGCTTGTTTTGGAACAAAATAACGCTTAGGGGTGCACCAGTGTTGTAAGCCATAAGGTTGCTCATGGCACAGGTGTCCTACTGGCCATATAAGGACACTACAGAAATCCCATGCAAATTCCTGGGTAGGACTTTGCAAGTAATTGATTTTTCATGTCACTCATCTATTCCATTTGGCCCCAAATTATTTATATATATTTTTCACTGAAACCAAAAGATTTAAGAAATTATTTTGCATGGAATGGTCATGTTACCAGGTACTTTTGCAAAAGCAAAGGCAACAAAGGGCTAGTGGAGGCACGGGCGACTGGTGCCACCCCAGTGACCAGTCAGCGACCGTGGCCAATCTCAGCAAGCGGGAAACAGCCGTGGCGCTCCCAGAAGTGGCTGCGGTGCTCTCACTCCCCAGCCAGCTCTTGCAGGGGGGCACTGGCACTCCTGCCTACCCCCTTGCCCGTGAGCACGGCCTGTCAGGGGATGCACCAGTGCTCTTAGGGGGTGTACATGCACCCCTGTGCACCCACTATGCATTGCCACTGAGTGGAGGTAGTCCTATTTATCCAATAATCCACGATGTGTGAGTCCTAGATTTAAGTTCTTCAAGTAAAACTGAACCTGTAACAGCCCCCTCCTTATGGAGGATGCTAATCATTAGGCTATAGGGAGACCAGTCTTTCCCTGTGTTGCTGTTCTACTTTGTACAAATATTAATGGAACCAGACAGTGTGTAAGAATAATTTTAGTTTGTTGGTCAGGGTTCTCATCTGGGAAGTGGGAGAACTAAATTCAAATCCCATTGAATCAGGCAAAGAGTTAATTACAATTTAGATAGCCCATGTTATAAGAGAGTCATTATCTTTGGTTTAATGAACCTATAAGTATTTTACTTAAAGTGACACAAGAAGGATTCAGAGGAGGTACAGGAAGTCAGTCTCCATGAGCATGGCTAGAATGCGAACTGCATGGTTTTTCTTAATACAAAGCCAGTTTACTTATACAAACACAGGCTCTTTTCATGTTTTTACTCAGCATGTTGTATATGAAGCAGCCCCACCTCA